TCATCTCCAGTAGCTTTTCCAGAACTACTACCTTCACCATGAAGCTCCATGAGTTTTCCCACTAAAAGGAAGAAAAAACTTCGTTAGTAATAGCACATCATATCTTTAAACAACGGTCTTCAATATTACATAGGCATGACAGGAAAAAAAGACCATTATGTGGCCTCAAAAAACAAAACAAAATGAACAACAACAAAAACCCCAAGTATTTGGCCCCACAATTTTTTTTTTCAGGGATCCTGTGATTTCTCACTTACATTCAAACTTGGGTTTCTTCAGCATTTTTACTTTTCTAACAAAGACATCATGAAGAGGATAAATAGACTGGCAAGCCTTTTCTATGTCTTTTCCAATGCTGTCTGGAATCCTGCAAACCACCAGTAATGGTAAATTAGCTTAAAAACAAACAAATAAAAAATAAAATCCTCGTTTTCACACACAAGGGAATAAACCATTTCCTTTAAAAGAAAAGAAGCCTTAGAATAAGCCTACACATACAATACCTACCTCATCACTTAACCCACATAAACCTCATGTAAGATAGGCTTTTATTGTCCCTTTGCCAGTAAAGGATAGGTGATCTGTCGTCAGCACCAAGCTCAGCCAGTGAGCGAACCGGCCATCCCTATATGGGATCCGAACCCGGGGCCTTGGTGTTATCAGCACCGCACTCTCCCGAGAGAGCCATGGGCTGGCCCAGGATAGGTGATCTGAATTATACAGCTAGCCAGCAGCAAAGTTGTCAGCTAAGCCTTCTGAGTCCAAGCCTTACATTTCTTCCATTACACCCTCTTAGTCAACTGTATATTGCATGGGAACATCAGAAAAATGTAACAGTTATCACTGCATATCATATGGGACCGAAACTTTTTCATCACTTATTCCCATACATTATTAATTGCAGAAGATTTTGTCCATTCAGTGTATTTTCCAACTAAGGTAAAAATACTTCGTCCTTCAAGTCTCACTACCTGCTCTAAGATAGCCTCATCCAAAAAAAGGTAAGAACAGAAAAACTATCACATTTACTGAGCACTTACTCTTACTTAAAGGGACTATAGCTAGAAGGATTCACAGGCAGGATTCGAACAAAGGTCTGACTCCACCTTGTCTCGTATACTTTCCCTCATCTGATGGAAAATCATATTCAGAGTTTGTTTGTGTGAGGAAGAAAAGAAACACACTTACAATTTATTGACCACTTCTTTCAAGTCATTGGTCTGCACCTCTCGGGTCATGATTTCCATCATCTTTTTCCGGATTTGGCGGACCTGTTGGTGCTGAGCATAAGAAGTCTTCCGTATCTGATTGTTGCGCTTTTTAGTAAAACCAACACAGAAAAGACGAAGCAAATAACCATCTGTAGTCTTGACATCAACATGAGCTTCAATCATGGTCTAGAGAAAAAGATACCGTCAGATATAACAGGTTTTAATGTTATCAATGTTATCCCTCAAATTCTGATATAAAAAAGCTGGCATGCCAAACACTCATTATGCAGTACGAATATAAATAATAAGACTAATTTACAGAATTAACCTCCTTGAAATGAACTTACCAAATTACCCCAAATTCTCACTATCCTTCACATCCAATGAAGTAAATACCGAGTCCACTCAACTGTCTTCCCTCCTCCTCCTCTCTAACCCCACCATCCCCATTATTACTATCTCAACTGCACCAACATCTTTTGCGTAGACATATAAGCCTGTAACACCCCACCCCACATCAATCCTACAACTATGCAAGATAAGAGGGAAATGAGTGTGGTAAGAGAAGATCCATGGGACACTATGATATGGACATCTACATTTATGATTTCATGTTTAAAAAAGAAGTGTTCTGGTGCTCACTTGGGTAACACATATACTAAAACTAGAACAATACAGAGAAGATTAGCACAGCCTCTGCACAAGGTTGACATGCAAATTCGTGAAGCGTTCCACATTTTTTGAGCTAACAGAAAGTATTCTGAAAGTTGTTCTGAATAGTTGAAGTATTGCTGTAATAACACTAAATGCACATTTAAGAAAATGTACTTTCTGTTCCGAACAAAAGGTATGCTGTGGACTAAATATTCAATTTCACAGCTAAAACATAATAAAAATCCATAATTAGTGGTTATATTAACTTTAAAAATAAAAACCATCTCAGGTAGCAACAAGAACTGATGTGCCTTCTTTGTACTTTGTAAATTTTATACCTCAGTTTAAAAAATGGTCAATACAATTACAGCCAAGGGACCTTAAAATATTCCCAGAAATGCAACCATAAAACCTTAGGGGAATGTCAGAAATAAATGCAACGGTATAATCAGTATGTGTCATCTGGGACCGAAACATTTTGTCATCATTCATTCCCTTTTACAAAATATCCCAAAACTAGATGTTTAGCCAGACACATCTGAACCAATGTAACTATTTCATGAAATGATATTGTTTACTGAGTGCTTTCTGTCAAGCCCTGTGCTGAACAGGCTTATATTGATCTTTTTTTAAACTTCCATCCTAACAATTCAGTGAAATGATACTCTATTTCCATTTTACAGATAAAGAAACCAAGGCTTTGCAAGCTTAAGTTACCTCCCAGAGAGAACACAATTTGGAAATGGAGCCAAAATTTAAGCACCCCCTCACCCCAACCCTGCCACTATTATGCTTATTGCCAGAGGTAGAAAACAAATTCAAACCACCCTTTCACTATAAACTCACTAGATTTTGAGATCCAAAGATATTCTGAAGGCAAAACTACCCACCTGCACCTAGATGTTCCTCAACAAGCCATTAATCCACACAGCCCTCAAAAAATTCACCTTGATAATAATACAATATATTAAATTGTGGACTCAACTTAAACAGGTAAGTAAAATAGGTGGATCATGGCTTGCTCGTTGTTGCTTAAGCTCAGGAGTGCCAACCCCAGAATTAACACTCAATAGCAACAATCAAGGATTTAAAATGAAATCTAAACCTCAATTACATGATATGCTCTTTCCTTCACACACCCTGTAAATTTTGGAACTTTTGGTCTCACCTGCCATTTTTTAACCATGGAACACATTTTGTCACGAGTAAGATCCATGCCATGGAAGTTAGTCAGGCAGTTTTTGCCTTGAACATCCTCAGTAATTAGCTTGAATTTTCTAAAAGCAACTTCATCATTCTGCAGATCAGCAAGGCTCACTTCAAACACACGACCTTTGAGGCCATCAGATGCGATTTCTACAAAACAAGAATCAAATGTCTTACTAACATTAGGAACTACATAAGCAAAGTCAAGTCTTCAAAGTCATGCAGAAGAGTTGAGATTAGAAATTAAGTTAATGGTAAATTATAAAGAGCTTAACCTTTGTCACCAAATCCATCTAGACTCCAATCTCTCTGTAGACGTTCAAAACTACCTATTACTTCCATTTTCTTGGCAATTCTAAAAGCAACACCTTGTTTCTACAAATACTATACCAAAAACAAGCACCACCGGTGCCAAAACTGCAATCATTTCCAAGTCTCCCCCACAGGACCAATAGTAGACCAAGATGCCTGCTACAACATACATGCCCCAACTTAAGAAAAATACACATCAAGAATAAGATACTCACTGGTTCCTTGAGTCCTGGTGACTAGTGTTTTTCCAATATTTCTTATATTGAACATAGCAGGCGCCTTCACATCATACCAATCTTTCTTAGAAAATGGATCAACCCTGGATTATAAAAAATGCTTATTTTTTTTTTTTAATGCTTATGTTTCATCGCAGATCATGTACTTCTTATTGTGACAAATATATTTTTTACTTTCCTCTTTTTACACTGCTGTTAACACCATTTCTCATCAAGATTTTAAAAGCTGACAATTTGATACTGGAGTAAACTATTTCTCTCTGTGAGGTTAGGGGCGCATATGTAAATCCATCTCTTCCTACTATGTCTTTCACTCCAAAGATCATGCCCACTCCCCATCCCTATTAGTCCTCCAAGTAACATGCACATCTCATAAACTTTACGAGCACGTGAAGGTACACGCTGGTAACTAGAACTCTAAGGGCATCATGCAAGCCTGTTGAGAGCTCCTAGGTTCGAGGGGGGCCTAAGCAGAGGAAGGGCGTGGGGTCGTGAATAGACAAGTACAGTACGTTCTGAACTGTTCTTAGAATGACGTCAAAACCTTCGGAATTTAGGCGGCCGGTGAACCGACAAGACACAACACGGCAACAACGCGGCTCAAACGCCACGCGCTCAAGGCCCAGAAAACAGGGGGAAAGCAGCCGGCCCTCCGGAACGCAGCACCCTAGTCCACCGGGCCGCCGTCCGGGTTGCACCAACCCGCCATGGCCCGCTCAATCCGAGTGGCATCCTAGCCATCCGGCCCGCGCCGCGATCTAAAGCCCGCCCGCCGACTACAGCAGGACCTCAAAAAGCGGGGCTCCACGACAGTCGTCACTTACACTTTCTTCTTGGCTCCCTTTTTGCCGCCTTTGGTAAGGCGCTTATTCTTGCCAACCGCCATGGTGCTGCTCAGAGAGCCAAAAGGAAGGAAGTACAACTCTCGCGAGAAGTTACGCGTAGGAGGCGGGGTGCGCCGTCGACGTGACCTTTGATCTTTTGTTCCTCCGACCTCAAGAAATCGCGACAACAGGAGAGAAGCTCACTCCTCCGACTGCAGCTGCGATGGCGCCCTCGTGCGTGGGGAGGCCGCGCAGCACGCCGCGTGCTCACCTGAGGCTGAGCGGCAGTGTGAGGGGCAAGCGCCTTTGGTTACCTGTGGTTTCTGTGTCTCTGACGTCGGGAAGTAAGTTTCCGCAAAGGAGACGCCCACTCAACATTGTTCAGAGCTGAACTCACCGTCTAACACTCAAACCTGTTTCTTCTCGAGAGCTTGGGCTTTGGAATCAGACAGAAGATCCAGGTTCAAATGCTAGTTTGAATACTTAGCCTTGTGACCTCTCTACGCTTCAGTTTCCTCATAGGTAAAATGGGGATCATAATACGATGTGTCTCCTGAAGTTGTTAGTAGGATGAGGGATAACTCCGGGGATCCTAGGCACGTCTGCTTGCTGTTGCGGGTGCTGGTTAGCCTCGGTTGTGGTTGCGTTGTGAACATCCATCAAGCTGTACACCTGTTTGTGTACTTTCCTGTGTGTCTGTAATACGTTGATAAAAAGTTTTAAAAAGTGGCGTGAAATCTCCAAATTTTTCAGTTTTTGCAACGAATCCGCCAATTTTTTTTAACTGTAGGGGTTTAACAAACCACATCCTGGCGAGATGCGGCCCACGAGCTCAGAGAGCAGCTCCTGGAAAGCTTGTGGCCGGTGCAGGCGTGGAAGGCGCCCGCGGCGCCTGAGTTCCCTTCTCACTCCCCCCTGGCGAAAACCGTGACCCTGCCAGAAGCCAAGCCCCGCTCACCAGGCCCCAGCGAGCTTTTTCTGTTGGTTTTTTCGTTTGGGTTTTTTTTTTTTTTTTTTTTTTTTTTTTTTTTGCGGCTGGCCTGTATGGGGATCCACACCCTTGGTGTTATGCACACCGTGCTCTAACTTCGTGAGCTCACAGGCCAGCAAGCTTTGAAATCCTGCAGTTCCTCCCTGTGCTTCTGTCCTCCATCCCCCATCTGCTACTATGCCTGCCGTCTAAGACAGCTGGTAAATCTCTAGTCGGATCATGAAACCTTTCAGTAATTCCGTAAATCTCAGGTGCTTGTAGGATAAAGTCAGAGTTCTTGTTTCACAACAGTATGAATATTCTTAACACTACTGAACTGTGTACTTAAAAATGCTTGAGATGGAGACTTTTGTTTCTCACCACAATTTTTTAAAAAAAAATCACAGCCCTCATCGTATCTGGCCTCTCCACTTACTCCTTTTACCTTCACCACTTCTTAACCTGTACAGGGTACCTCTACTCCAGCCATCTAGAACTAAAGATTCCCTGGTCTAAAGAGGCTTCTCTTGCCTCCATTTCCACACCCCCACACCCCCACCAGCAGCCAAATACCTGTGCATTTTCCAGACAGCTCAGTTTCATTTCTTCTTTCAGTAAGAGATTGATTCCCCAGATAAACAGGCTCTCCTTCAGACCTGCTCCCAGAAGACCTAGCACTATTTAAAGAAAGTAGCTATTGACTAAACATGTGCCTTTGCACCGTGAGCAGCAGGGAACACAGTGCAGTCTTTTTCTTGTGTCCCATCTCTTAACACATAGTAGCCCCTCAAACTATTTGTTGAACAAGTAAGATGTTAGACGGCATCGGTGGTCTTTGGGACTTTGTGGATCAGTCTGTATTTTCAAAATAATTTTGGGAACCAACAGGACTGCAATTTTTTAATTTTGCCAAACTATAAAACAATAAACAACTGCTGTTTGATTAGCATATTTTAAGATTATATTTTGACCCCCAACATAAAGAACATACCCCCTAAGAAATCAGTCTTTTAAAATGAATAAATCAGCTTTATGAAAAATTATATAGACCTTGTTTTTCTTATTTTAAGATTATATTTTGACCCCCAACATAAAGAACATACCCCCTAAGAAATCAGTCTTTTTAAATGAATAAATCAGCTTTATGAAAAATTATATAGACCTTGTTTTTCTTATCCCATTGCACACTGGTGTTACAAGGCTGAGATCTAACCAACTGACTAGTGAAAACTAGTGACCGATGGAAATCAATTAGTCCTTCCAAATATAACATTGAGTCTAATAAATTCTCTGTATTAATTTCATACCAATGAGTAAGTTTACTTCATAGGTGGCAGTTCATTAGTTTAAAACTTTCCCAATGGGAAATGTTATAGACCCCCAAGCTGCCCACCCTAGAATAAAAATCGAACACACCTTCATCCAGTTCTGAGTCTTCTTTCTGTGCAAGAGTGAAAGCCACAGGGGAGGCATTAATGAGTCAGCTGCATCTAGTTTATTCTAGCAACACCAGTGCCTGAGGGATTTGTCAGAGGTCTTCAATCCTCCACTTTGTTTTGTAGTAAAAGCTTTTTAAAAATAATTTATATTTTCCTGACACTGTTATATTAAATGGTACAATCATTAGTTTTAATATAATTATATTGAATTAAAGACAGGGGGTGCAAAATCAGTTTATCAGGTCTCAACCATCATTTTAAAATTTCAGAGAGAATAAAATGAAACAAAAAAATGTCAGAATACATCAAACTGAGTAAGGGGTTAATATTGTTTCATTAATTTTCTTTTCATCTGTGACTAATCTAAATCCATCTGATGAGTTTCAAATTTTGATTACTGTTTTTTATTTCTAGAAGTGTTTTTTATTTCTAGAAGTTCCATTTGGTTCTTTTTCAATTATGTCACTTTTTGTAGTTTCTTATTCTCTGTAGGCATCTTCAATAAGATGCCTTTTGCTACTTAGTATAAAGTTCGAACCCCTTGGTGTTATGAGTAACGTGCTCCAACCAACTAACCTAACCGGCCAGCTACAACATAGATTTTTTTTTTTTTTTTTTTTGGCAGTTAGCTGGTACAGGGATCTGAACCCTTGATCTTGGTGTTATAAGACCTCATTCCAACCAACTGAGCAACCGGCCAGCCCTACTACTGTACTTTAAACCAAGTTTATGGCTTTAGGTTTCTTGGACAACCCAGGAGGTTCAAACTCAGCTGTAATGCCTGGTAGGAACTGTCCTACTCTGGATTCAGCTCATCCCTTTAGGGTGTAGCCCTGTGAGGCCACAGTTAAGTGAGAGGATGGTCTCTTGTTATACTCCTCACCTTCTGTGGACCCTGGGACTGGATTTCTGTCCCTGTCACCCAGAATGGCTATCCAAATAAATGTTCCAATTTTAAGGAACCAAGAAATACCCTTAGAGCAAAAGTAGCTTGGTGTTTGTTTATCTTGTTTATTCCTATTTTTCTCTTCTGTTTTGAACAGTTCATTTCTTACTAAAAAGATAGCATTTTAAATAGAGTTTTGGTTTGGGAGCTTGCAGTATAGTAGGTCATTTATTTAGTTGATGGTTAGAAATTTCTCCCATAGATGCAGACATTTGAGGAAATCTTATTTCGTTATCTTAAATTTTAGAATTCTGCATTCTGTTCATCATCCTAATAAAACAAAATGCAAATTCTAGGTGTCTTTTTACTGATGACATTATCTAAAATGCTTAAATGATAGTATTACTAAATCTTAACCAGCTTGTGTGAAACTAGTGTGCTCATTCATAGCTGTTGGCATTTTACAATGATAAGCCATTTGAAAAGTAATTGTTCAATATGATTTGAAAGTCATCAAAGTGTCCTGGTGTCATCTGGAAATATATCATAAGGAAATGATGCAAAACTGGAAAAAACCTATATGCATAAAGATAATATTCAGAGTCTTAATCATGAAATTAGAAGATTAGAAATAACCAAAACGTGGGAGCTGGCTGGTTAGCTTAGTTGGTTAGAGTGCGTCCTTGTAACACTAAGGTCAAGGGTTCACATCCCTATAGTGGCCAGCTGCCAAAAAAAAAAAAAAGAAATAACCAAATGCTTTAAAATATGGAAATAAGTAAATTATGATATATTCACTTGATAGACTATTATGCAGCCATTATAAATTATGGGTATAAGGGCCAGCCCGTGGCTCACTAGGGAGAGTGTGGTGCGGATAACACCAAGGCCATGGGTTCGGATCCCTAATAGGGTTAGCTACAACACCAAGTCAAGAGTTAAGATCCCCTTACCAGTCATCTTTAAAAAAAAAAAAAACCAAAAATATATTATGGGTATAAATATAATTGTGACAAAGTGGTCAGCACAGGATACAGAAATTTATGTACATCTTATAACTATGTAAAAGGCAAATACAGGGCCGGCCCGGTGGCGCACTGCTACAGTGCGCCGCTTGGGAGCGCGGTGGCGCTCCCGCCGAGGGTTCGGATCCCACATACAGACCGGTTCCCGCTCACTGGCTGAGCGAGGGGCGGGCGCAGCACAGAGGGTTGCGATCCCGTTGCCGGTCCCGGTCCGGTACGGGCGTGATACTGAGGGTTGCGGTCCGTTGCCGGACATGAAAAAAGACAAAAAGGAAAAAAAAAAAAGGCAAATACAGTGGAAAAAAAGACATATCAAATACAAGAAACTTTACCAGTTTAAAATCTCTCAAGTTATTTGGTGAGCTCATCCATTCCAGGCTCAGAGGAAATCAACATAGCTGTAATAGGCAGCACCGAGGGTTGCGATCCCGTTGCCGGTCCCGGTCCGGTACGGGCGTGATACTGAGGGTTGCGGTCCGTTGCCGGACATGAAAAAAGACAAAAAGGAAAAAAAAAAAAGGCAAATACAGTGGAAAAAAAGACATATCAAATACAAGAAACTTTACCAGTTTAAAATCTCTCAAGTTATTTGGTGAGCTCATCCATTCCAGGCTCAGAGGAAATCAACATAGCTGTAATAGGATGTTATTATTTTTTTCTGCTGTTCTTGTCAAGTATTAAATATATAATTTTAAAATAAATGTAAAAATAACCTTCATAGTGGTGATGATTGTACAACTCTGTGAATATACATCAGTCCTTTTCCTTCTCAGCTTCCCTTTCCCA